TTTGTCAATGCCGATGGCCTTCAAGTGGTGCTCCAGATGTTTTGGGATTGCACTTAAGGCACCTAATAACTATTGGAACTATCTTTGCTTTCTTTTGCTGTAATCATTCTACTTCTATTTGCAAGTCTTTATATTTTGTGATTTTCTCCAATTCTTTCTTTTCTGTCCAGGTATTGCAATGTCCACTATCCAGACTTTTTTGTCTTTCTTATCTATGATGATGATGATGAATAATGATGATGTAATCTCCAATTAGATTCACAGTCTAAGAATGGTGGAATCTTAATAATTCAAATCCTAACCAAGGACCTAAGAATTATTAAGGTAGTGTCTAAGAATATAGGCAGTTCTAAGCAGGGTGGTTTTTTATAAAATTAGGGTATTCAGGTCTGATAAATTCAAAATTTCCAAATATCAAAGAAGTCCTTTAGGTATTGCCCCAAGGGCTCCAATCACAATTGTTATACAGGTAGTCCTCGCCTAACAGCCATTCATTTAATGATGGTTTGAAAATATGACAGCCTTGGAAAAAAGTGTTTTACGACTTGTCTCGTAGTTACAACTGTCGCAAACTATCGCACCCCCCCCCACAGTCATGTGATTGTAATTTGTGACTTTTACAATGGTCATTAAGCGACTCATGCGGTCATTAAGTGAATTCTGGCAAAAAATGTCCACTGGGGAAGCTGGATTCGCTTAACAACCACCATGATTTGCTTAACAACTACCGTAAAAATGGTCATAAAATCAGGTCTGGTCAAGTGGTGACTCACTTAATGACCACCCCAGCTAACGACCAATTTTCCAGTCCCTAATGTGGTCATTAAGCAAGAGCTACCTGTAACAGCAGATTTCTTTTTCCATAAGCATACAACTTCAATCTGCAAGACCCGGTATTTTGTAATTTTTTCCAGTTGCTTTTCCTCAAGCCTAGCATCACCTGGTATAGTAACATCAGTGAACCAGACTTTCTTCTTTTCAATGACTGTTATATCAGGTGTATTATGAACAAGGTGCCTGTCTGTTTGGATACTAAAGTTAAAGATCTTAACCCACTCTAAAACCTTCTCAACTTGTGGTCCCAGTGGTTCTTGCTACATTCAAATCCAAACCTCTGGCAAAGTTTCCAATGAATAATTTTGGCAACTCAGTCAAGACTCTGCTTGTAGTCAGTTTGTGAAACTTTGCTGCAGCCACTGATCAAATGGTCAATTGTTTCAGCAGCAGCATCATCACCATCATCATCATTATTATTATTTTCACTCTTTGCCAAATATCATTGCATTTTGTCAAAACAACCTTACAGTCACCACTGTACTTGTTACCAAGGAACAAGAACAAAATAATAATAATAATAATTATTATTATTATTATTATTATTATTATTTATGGGCATGGAATGAAAGAGCAATGCTCTTCTAAGTCCAAACAGGGTAAATGATAAAAAGGGGCATTGTTATTTTTTTTCTTCCCACAACAAATCTTTTCTTTCCTGGATTCCAAAAAGAGGGAAGCTAAACATACCAGCTCCAAAATGCTAGTCCTTCCTTATTTTGTTTGTGTTGGGAGAACTAGGAATATAGGGTGGATTTCACCCTGGGGCCGAATCAAAAAGTCAAGATGGTGGCTATAAACTCCACCCCTTTTTCATGTACAATACATGTAAAAGGGGGATGGAGTTTCAGTTCTGGGCTCACAGCCACCATCCTGACTTCTTTTACTGGTCTTAGACCGTATTAAACTGTGAATCTGAATCTGACCCCCCCACCCACCCATGAATGCCCCTGGATTCTCTTCACATGATCCCAACACAACTATGAAACCCCCAGGATTCTGGCCTTGCTGCCTTAAGACCAAGGAGAGTGGTACCCATTGGTACCCATTGTTCTGCAAAATCTGCCAGGCTGAAAGGTCCTCCATTAAAGAAGTAATTTATAAATGTTCATAAAGGAAGCTGCTGCATCCTGATTTTTCCTTTTGATCAAAGGTCATTAGCAACACTGACAGGAAGGATTTGAGACCAGAATTATTCTGTGCCAGGAATTGAACCTGCAGCCTTCTGAATCAAAGCAGATCCTCTGGCCCTCTTCCCAGTTAGCTAACGATATTAGATAAGGTTGCTGGAAATGTCAATGATTAACTGAACCCTCCTCTCTCTCTCTCTCTCTTTTCTATCCTGGGACACCAAGTTCAGCCAACATTTAAGAAAAAAATCTTGGAAATAAAAATAAAGTAATGGCCACCTTGTTTGCTTGTTGTAAGATGATCTGAAAAGCATTTGTATTAGATATTACGGTGCTGAAGTTGTTCCAGCTGAAGGGTGATTCAGAGCAGGGCATGTCACACTTTAAAGAGGCTACATCTTTTCCTAGGCTCACACACAATTCACATGCAGATGAAAACACACCTTTGATTTAAGGAGGTGTCAGCAGACCACCCACAGGTACCCTCGATCACCTTTTGAACGTGGATCACTGCACAGCCCTATGAGGTATACAGGAAATCAGTTCATCAGACGCAGCTATCTTCACGAGCACCCTTCCGGCTGTCCGATAGAAAGCCTGCTTCTGTATGCGTTCAAATCAAGACCAGCTCATCTTCATTACAGCCAGAGGCCAACCTATCCACTGTTATTGAACAGAATAAAACTCCTTGCTATGCATGTTGCTTCACTGTTGGGCCATGAGGGGCAAGATTCGAAGCTCCTGCAGGGATTCTCCTCCTTGTCTCATCTGAAGACACTGAAGTGTTTTCTCCGCAGAACTTGTTTGGAGAAATACGAGTTTTTAGTACACAGCAATGCAAGAAATGCTATTTGCAGGGATTGGCTTCAAGCAATCCTTACAGCGGTCTTATAACAAAGGGTATCAAACTGAAAGAGAACAGATACATTTCTGCCCATATTATGCCATCTTTACTTTCACGGGATATCTGACTCCTCAGCTGAGTAAGATGCCAAACCGGAGCTCGTTAATGCAAGTATTATCCTGTCATTCTGTGTCTGCACGTGAATGCAGCCTTCTTCAGTCATGCCTAGAATGGAGAAGCCTCTCCTTTTGCGTGTTGCTTTTCACAGCTCTTGCGGGTAAGCGAATGCATGGAAAGGAAAAGCTATACTTACAAGGTGCCTGGAAATTCTGTTGAAGGTTTGGCCAGGACATCCATATGTTTCTCAGGTGGAAAAGAAAGAGAACAGGAATTAACTGTCTGTCTTTTTGCAATATCCATTTAATTTTTCATTGTATAAAGCAGTGTTTCTCAACGTTAGCAACTTTAAGATGCGTGGACTTCAACTCCCAGAATTCCCCAGCCAGCCATGCTGGCT